GAGTCTCCCTGTAGCTCCAGCTGGCCTGGAACTCACTATGTAGACCAGGTTGGCCTTGAACTCACAGATATCAGCTTGCCTCAACTTCCTGAGTGCTGGGATTAAAGTAGTGCACCACCATACACAGGAGGTGCTCAATCAATATTTGTAAATGGAAGCACTTTACAACACAATGTCTGGCAAAGAGAAGCAGTTAAATACTATTAGTGTACAAGGGTTCCCATTTCTGTTCACTAATATATCAAGAATCAGCAGTGCCTATTTGTTAGACAGGGAGAAGTTAGTAGAAAAGGACTAGCAGGTAATAAATTATAAGGCAATATTTTGCAAAGTATCTGTTATGATAGGCAGTGCATTAATTATCTACTGGTTCTTAAGTTTTGTTTTTTGAGACAAGACCTTGCTTGTGGTCCTGGTTGGACTGTTACCCACTATATAAGCCTATATAAGTCTCTCATTTGATTGAAAAAACAACTTACAATTGTGAATTGCAAAGGACCTGACATAGAGTAACAATTCAATGAATCCAATGTTTTGTCAGTCTCACTAACAACTAACAGAGTTCAATGGCACTCCCCAACCCAGCAGCCCTGCAACCAGGAATGCAGGAGTAAGTGCCAGTAGTCGTCTTGCCTGAGGTGGGGCCCTTTAGAGGCCAACTTGCACAGCCATTGACAGTTTTCTCAGAGGCAAATTCTGCCACCGCGCAGGCGCACCCTTTCCGTGGCTCCAGAGGCCGGGGCAGGTTGACTCAAATGCCCGCCAGAGGGAGCTCTCTCACCTATAATTTGCCCAGACCCGCCCTGATGTCCGTTGGAGTTCTCAGGGTGGCAGGAGAGAAGCAGCCAGCTTCACCATGGCAACCAGTGACCTAGGTCCCTCTTTCCCCACCAGCATGTCCCGTGAACAGCCCCAGAAGCAGTATTTGGAAGGAGGATGAGAAAGGAGAGTTGGAGAGGAGAATCCAGGGCTCTGGGGGAATTGAGGTGAAATAGAACTGTGTCACATTGAAGGCAGTAAACACAGTCTGGTGGGAGTTCTCACGGTTACAGGGCTCAGGGGGTCATATATCCCCCCTAGAAAAAAGTAGGGTGTAAGTTTGATGTTTGATTCCACCAGTCATGGAGAATACCAAAGATACTCACCAAGGTGGACCAGCCTAGCACACGATTCCGGGAGATTACCTTGATGGCCACCTGGAGAAAAAAGCTGAGATAAGGGGGCCAGCAGGTGACCTAGACTCCTCCCAATCCCTTTCTGACCAGTTCCAGCCTCTCCATCTGCCAGCTACCTTAGTATTTCTGGTTACCTTACTTATCACACCCACTGCGGCCTGGACTTCTCTCCTTAACTCCAAACTCCCCCAAACCATGTTCACCTCTGTCATCTACCATCCTTACCTGGAGCAAGAATCAGAACCCTCTCAATTCTAATAGATGTTTTCTTCTCTCTTCACAAGCCCCCCCCCCAATGCTGGGTATTGAACTCAAGGCTTCTGAATGATGTGAAACCATTTAACACTGACCCATATCCCTGGCCCTGAATTCTAAGTTTCTACACGTCTCAAGCCCTTCCATCATGCTACCCATTTCCAGGACACACCAACTCTGTACCGGGGTCCTTGTTCTCACGACTCCACTTAACATCTACTTCGAAATTCCCCCAAATCTCCACTTTCCCATACATATACACAATTTCCATAGATCTTGGGGCTGAGCCCTTAAGACTTGCCCCTTCCCCAGTCGTAGTCCCTGATCTTTCGGAATTCCTGCCCTGAATCCTTCTGCCCACTCCCATACCCACCTGGAATGCCAGACACACACGCACATTCACTCACAGCAACCCTGATTCTGATCCTCTAGATCCTACTACACATTTGCAGGCTCCTTCCTGAAGCAAACAGCATAGCATCTTCCAGCACCCAGGACCCCCCCCAACACACACACCCATGACCCTCCCAGAACCCTGGTAGTGGATACCTGGCGTCTATCTGTGACGCGGTGTCCCGCGAAGACCGTGCCAAAGCCCCCCTTACCCAGGAGGGGGCCAAGTCGGTATTCGGCCTCGAAGGCTGCCCGATCCTTGCCTCCTACGCAGGCGGAGGCGAGGAAGTCAGGGTGGCGGTGTGCTGTGCCCCGCCGTGACTCCCTCGCCCCCGCATCCACAATTTCAGCCCACCCCACCTAGTCGCGGCAGGGGAGGCTGCGCTCACCTGGAGGCTGTGTGGGGGTCACAGGGGGTGCAGGAAGCCCCTGCAGAGGCTTGGTCAACATGGAGGAGGTGCTACGCAGATTGAGCCCACTGAATCCGCTGAGCCCGCAGGGCGTGGATGCCCGGGGCAGAGTGGCCGGGGAGCCAGGGCTGGGGGGCGCCAGGGTGGAAGGCAGGGTATCTGGTGGCCCGGAAGCGCCCACAGACGGCGCAGCGTTAAGATTCGTGGCGCGCGCCAGCCCCAACGCTACTGAGCCGGGCACGCGCCTCCCGGGAGAGTCGCCCTGCGCGACAGCCCCGCCCACCTGGCTTAGATCAATCCAGACGCGGCACCTGCTGTACCCCAGCCAATCGGAGCTAGTCCTTATTTGCATGCCACCATCAACGTTTCAAGAGCTCCCTTATGCAAATACACGCCGGGTTCTTCCACGGAGGCGGAGCCCGTATGCAAATATGAGGGCGCACACACAGGAGGAAGCCGATTCTGGGAATCCCTTTGCAGCAACTGTGCCTGTTTGGGTTGTTGGGGGAGTTGTTGATGTGGTGGGGTGTGTATGTGTAAACACTTTAAAAAAAACTGTGCAGCTTTCTTTCCTAGGAAGCTGGTTTGCTGTCTTGAGATCAGTGCGGAGATAACGCCTGAGCCAGCTTTTAAGAATCAAAACCGGGAGCTAGACAGGTTACTTCTCACCCAAGACCAGAACCCTCCAGGCAACTGGCAGCCTTGCCTAGAACTGTAATCACGCCTTTATAGAAGGTCCAGTCTTCAGGGAAGGGTAACATTCTTGACCATTACCCTGGCGAGGGAGGGGGGTCAGGTTGGTCAAAAGCTGAGTTTGGCACCTGGAAGTGACAGCAAGCAGAGGATTGTTGCAGCCTACACAAATCTGGCTAGACTTAGCCCTGGGCCTAGTCAGTGGGTCTAGAATCTATAATGGCAGGGCTTGGTTCTTGTGGAAGCTGCACTTTCTTGTGAAAGCCAGGGACTGAAAGGCTATTATGCATAGAGGTTCCAAGAAGAGGTACAACTACCTTAAAAGTGTTTGTGAAAATGGCCAGAGGGCCTATGTCCAGGAAGACAGCCATACTACTTCAAAGACACACAGAAAACTAGGCATTGTAAAGCACACTTGTAATCCTTGCACTTGGTAGGCTGAGTCAGGACCATGAATTTGTGGTCAGCCTACACAAATAGAGAACCTGCCTAAAAATCGGTAATACGGCCCATGCCTTTAATTCTAGCAGGCAGATAGCTATGAGTTCCAGGTCAGCCAGGGCTACATAGTGAGACCCTGTCTAAAAAACAAAAAAAACAAAGCAAAACAAATCAAACAAAAAAACTATGTTGAGATGCCTCAGAGGATAGACACTTTCCTTTACCTGACAACTTGCTGTCAATCCTCAGGATCCCCCACATGGTGGAAGGAGAGAATCAACTTCTGAAAGTTGTCCCCTGAAACTCCAAACATGCACCATGTGCTTACACGTTCACTCACAAAGACACCTATACCATGAAAGGTATCCGCACACTGTCAAGACACACTCAGGTGGACATGTTCTAGACCTAGATGCACATTGAAGATACACTGTCGGAAAATGATGTCCCAGTGACAGCACTCAGATATACTTACTTGTACTGTCCCATTAAGACTTGTATTACCCCAGAAATGAGGGACATATATTGTCACAAGAAGATACACAGATACTCCAGATACACATATTTATTGCTCCAAAAGCAGGCATGTAGTGATGTGAGAGCATCACACAGATAAGCAATGTCATAAAAACAGACATAGAGACCCAGTCACATACGTACACTATCAGACATGCAGCCTTGTCACTGAAACAATGTATACAGAAATAGCTATCTAGAATCTGCCACAGTATACAAAGGGACATCCACTCCATCAGACAAACTACAGATGAACTGCCACTGACAGACCCACGCAAACATGCACCCCTCGAAGATATCAGACATAAACTGTCAAAGACAGAGTCCCATACTCAGTCACCATCTGACACACCTGGAAACAAGCCCTCATCAGACACAGAAACTAGAGACACTGAAATGCATAGGAAAACTTGTGGCCTTGCTGTAGTCACACACAGGGACAATGCACAAAAACCACAACAGTTACATATATTCTCCTATATTCATCCAACACTAGTAGGTGTTTTACTGTTAAGCTTGCCAGGCTTTCGTGGAGGTGTAGATCTTAAGACACACACAAACAAGACAAGCATCACAGCCCCAATCCAGGATGTTTGTTTATAGTAGTTATTGGGGATAGTTGTAGACAGAAGTGAGAATGTGAATAGGTGCACACATGGCTTCTCAAGTGACCCTCTGTCTTGAAAGACAAACAAGGATAGAAGCTGAAGATAGTTAGGGCAAACTGCAAGCAGAAGCCAAAAACAGCAAGAGGTAGGCTGAGGCCAAATGGTACAAACTTCCAAAACAGGCTAATACCCCCAACCCAAAGTCTGGTAAGACCCTAACATTGTGTTCTCAGAATGTGCCAGGTACTGTTCCCAGTAGTACATTACTGACCATACACATTGTCAATGCTCACAATCAGAGAGTATGAGGTAGCAGACATCACCCCTTTAGTTGTAGATGGGACACCTGAAAAAGAGAGCCTAAGGACACACAGCTAGAGAATGCAGATAGGTTTTAATCAACCTTCTTAGTGTGTTCATGTTTGACCATGTATTTCAGATACCCTGCAGTCATCCATTCAGCAAACCATGCCCTCCATCTGTAGGGCCATCACACACAGGCCTCCACAGGGACCCTACTGAGGTATAGGAGGAAAAATAATTGTTTTGATAAAACCTGGGGCCTGGGGGCCAGTCAGCCTTCTCTGCCTGGGTTTTACAAACCCTAGGAGAGGCAGAGGTAGAGGTGTCATGAAGACTGAGAAACAAGAAAAAAAGAATTTCATTCTTCTACTTCTAAAGTCCAAGCAGGGAGGGGTCACCTCTGGTTACTTCTACCAAACTTAAGTATTTCCTCATGAGATTCTCTATCACAATAAAGAACACATATTAAGGGTGAGAGACGGAGGACAGTTGTAATTCAGAGAAAATTCAGTATCTGTCATTAGCTCACATATAGTACATGACTTCATTATCCCAGGCTCCCAGGAATTATGGTAAGTGAGAGTAGGGGCTGCAAAGTAGACTTGGTCCTAAAGAAGTTTTTGTTGGTTTTGTTTTTTTAAGAAACAGAACCTCACCCCAGCACTTGGGAGGCATGTAGAGTTCTGTGAGATGGAGGCCAGATTGGTCTATACTGAGTTTCAGGCCAGCTAGGGTTACAAGGAGATCCTTCTTTTAAAAAATTTAAAAAAGAAAAACAGAATTATCATCTCAGTACCCAGGAAGCAGAGGGAGGAGGATCTCTGTGAGGTCGGCCAGGCCTATATAGTGAGACTGTCTCTTAAAAAAAAATAGGGCTGGGCATGCTGGCGTAAGCTTTTAATCCCAGGCAGAGGCAGGAGGATCTCTGAGTTCAAGGCCAGTCTGGTCTACATAGTGAGTTCCAGGGCAGCTCCACTACGGGGAGACTCATCTCAAAATGACAAAATTTTTTTTTAATTTATAAATACAAAAATAAAAGCAGCCAGGCATGGTGGTGCGCACCTTTAATCCCAGCACTTGGGAGGCAGACGCAGGCAGATCTTTGAGTTCAATGCCAGCCTGGTCTACATAGTGAGTTCCAGGCCAGATGGGGCTACAGGGAGACTGTCTCAAAAAGATAAAAAAATAAAAACTAAAAAGAAACAAACAGAATCTCGGTTATGTGGTCCAGGCTAGCCTCAGACACCTGGGCTCTAAAGATCCTCTGCTCTCAGTCTCAATATTATAGGGACACCATGCCTGTCAAGAACTTAGTTAGTAAGCAGAGAATCAAAGATGAACCCCAGCCCACAGACAGTTCCTACAGGAGAGCATGCAGACCTCAGGTCAAGCCAAACCCTGTCACCTGACTTCCCAGAGGCCCAGCCACCCCGTGCCCGACACAGAACAGAGCCGCTCAGGGAAAACTGACATTTGGTTTTATTGTGCCAAGGACATTACAGATGGTAGATCTTGTCAACACCTGCAGGGCACGGGTGCCCCGTCTGCTGAGGCTGCTCCCACTCCCTATACGCAAATCTTGGGTAGCAACCATAGTCTCCAAAGATGCCCCCCACCTCAAGATTCCAGACTAGTGGTGGAAGCAAAAGGAATGCAGCAAGGTCAGGGTCTCATTGTCCAAAGCCAGTCTGCTACCTGCAACCTGTCTTCCACTCTGGCTTATACCCTAGACCCTCTGGTCAACCTTCAAGGAGCTGGAGGCCAGAAGATAGCAGAAACCCCTATCTTCGCACTCCCTCCACATCTCATGGCCAGCCTGCCTGCCCCAAACCAGAGATGCCATCTTCACTGAGCCAATGTTGTCACCTACATCACTGATAGTTTGATTTTTATAAGAAATTCAACATCGAAGGCTCAGAGATTCTTGGGGTAGTAGGAAGGAAAATTTCCCACTTTTTCCTCACACCTTTTCTGTCATCATTGTGAGGAAGGGGTAATCCATTTATCTGATCTGGAAGGAAGGTCGAGCAGAAGACTTCCTCTGAGTCTCTCTCTCTCTCTCTTCTGGGGCTGCCTGGCCACCAGGTGGTCTGTCTCTGTGTGCCTCTCGCCTACCTTCGGCACCCTTTCCAGAGTCCCCTGTGGAATGCTGAGATGGTGCTGTGCAGGGGGGCAATAGGGCACATCAGCTGGCAGAGACCAGCAGTGGTGGTAGGGATGAGATGGAGCACAGGATTGGGCCAGCCAGAGGAAAGTGGAAAAAAGGGAAGGGAAGGAAGCCAAGAGGGAAGAAAGCCAAAGAAGGTTGGGTGGCATCAGAGGGCAGGAGTAGGGGGTCAGGGGATGGTGTCCAGTCCCTGGGTCTCCATCAGCTCTTGTCTGGGGGTGGGTCTCTGTGCACTTTGTTTTTCAAGGGGTAATCCATTTATCTGATCTGGAAGGAAGGTCGAGCAGAAGACTTCCTCTGAGTCTCTCTCTCTCTCTTCTGGGGCTGCCTGGCCACCAGGTGGTCTGTCTCTGTGTGCCTCTCGCCTACCTTCGGCACCCTTTCCAGAGTCCCCTGTGGAATGCTGAGATGGTGCTGTGCAGGGGGGCAATAGGGCACATCAGCTGGCAGAGACCAGCAGTGGTGGTAGGGATGAGATGGAGCACAGGATTGGGCCAGCCAGAGGAAAGTGGAAAAAAGGGAAGGGAAGGAAGCCAAGAGGGAAGAAAGCCAAAGAAGGTTGGGTGGCATCAGAGGGCAGGAGTAGGGGGTCAGGGGATGGTGTCCAGTCCCTGGGTCTCCATCAGCTCTTGTCTGGGGGTGGGTCTCTGTGCACTTTGTTTTTCTTCATACTGTCTAGGTATTCCTGTTGGGACACTGCCAGCACCGATGCTAGGATCTCATCATCATCCCAGTCATTCAGACCTGCTGGGCAGGAGAGAGAAGAGGAAAAGGATGATGGGGTCCTCAGCTCACTTTCATTCTTGACTGATCCCTGACTCTGGAAAAATCCATCCAGGTCCCTGTCACTCATAGGCTCCCCTCAGTCTGTGAAACCCCAAGAGACACCTTGTGGGGAAAACCTGTTGGGCCTGAAATTTTTCCCGTGCCTCTGACATGGGAGGTGGCCAAGGGCTCCAGAAATCCTCTTTCTTAGGATCTGCTGCTTCATCCAGGCTCTCCCAACTCCCAGCTGGCCCATCCCCTGAGAAGGCTTACCAAAGGCAGAGGGGGACATCTGCTGGATGAGGGCCCGGCACTCCAGAGCAGGGTAGAGGGACACAAGGGGAGAGGTGGCCCGGTCAGCTCCTGCTGAGAACTGACTGCTTGTACCTGAGGCAGATGAACAGTCAGAGGTAGGGCCCAGGACCTAGGGAGAGCCTCTTAGCCCAGGCAGGCACCATGCAAGCAAGTCACTGACCTGGTGCACAGGGTGAAGGAGGTTTGGCAAGAGCTAAGACAGTGCCTGGGGAAGGGGGCTTGATGCCTAGCTCAGCATGCAGTTCAGGGTGCTCAGGTGATGAGGCTGAACTCCGCTGCCTTGGGGAACGACTAGTCCACTCCTCCAGGCCACTGGAGGCTGCTGCTGTGGCTGAACTGCATGTGGCACTGGCTTTCCGGGGCTGCAGTAGGGAAGGAAAAAGCAATAAGGACCTACACCAGCTATGGCCCACTTGTGCCACAGAGCGCTTATACCCTTTTTTAAGGATCCTGATTATAATACAGTTTTAATGTGTCACAATGGACTATAGGGGCGCTCTCTCACAGAACACAGGTGAAAAATTTTAACTACTCTCAAATCCTTACAGGCAACCAATAGAAAGCCTTATTCTTTAAGAGATCCTGAGTCTACTTCCATATTACTACCACTGTACCTCCACAGTACCTTCACTTGTCACTGGGATTACCTCAGTAGCCTCCTCCTCACTGGTCCCCTACTTACTCCCTTGCCCCCCTTCCCCACCCCAGACTCTGTTCTACACTCAGCAGTCAGGGTGCTCCTGATAAGCCCTAACGCAGACCCCATCCTTTCTCTGCTCACAGCCCTTCCATTGTTTCTGCCTCATTTGAGGCCAAAGTCAAAGTCCTCCTCAGAGCCCAAAAGCCACGATCCACATTCTGTTCAGTGGACACTGGCCTCACTATAGGCTATGCCTGAGTCACACCAAATGTGCTGCCTTGTTCTGTCCATGTATTCAGCTAACATGTTCCCCTTCTGCAAGCTTTTGCTCATCTCATCTGCTGAGGTGACACTGTTTAGTACTGTGAACTCATGCCTATCCCCACTCAGCCACATTCATTTCTTGTACCAACTCTCCATTTTTCATTCACCATAACTCAACTAATTTATTCATTATGATTATTTTATTTTACTTTGCAAAAAACGTGAGCAGCATAAGGACAGGAACCTTGGCCTGCTAGGTTCACAAATGTATCCCAATACACTAGGAATAGTAAGTACATCCTGCTTCCTAGTACAGGCCCGCAATAGATACTTGCTGAACAAATTATTCAGCTCTTGCAAACATCATTCCAAACTCCTTGTGATTCCTCAGAAACCTGCCCTCCTCCTCCCTACCCTAACAATGCAACCTTTCCCAAACTGTGAAGACTGGCCATAACCCCTACCTCCATTGCTCTTGCATATCCAGGGTCATAGGCCCTAACAAGGATCATTGAGGAAGAGAAAAGTAGACCCGATTTTTCATTCTTAGAACAGAGCCTAGCATGCTTTAAAAGTATTCAACAACAGCTTGCCTCTTTGTAGTTATACTCATGTTTCCAGCAGCAGTAGCTGCTCTCCTTCATTCCTTAAAAGCAAGTATTGAGAGTTCCAAGGTAAATGTCAAAGTTGAGTTACAGATGGAGCTGGGAAACGTCCCTTTTTCCCAGATGTCAAAACCTCTTATTTTTTCCTGTTCATTAAGGACCAAAAGATGGGAAGTAATGGATTCTTGGTCAGGCCAATGGCAGAGTCCATGACCCACCTGGTTGGGTCCCCGGACCTGGCGGGCCTGTTTCTCCTGATCTCTCAGCCACTGCAGGTAGGATTCTCGAGCCACCTGCTCCTCTATGGCCTCATTTGTGGCCTCCCAGTCTGTGGCTCGTTTCTTGTCTTCCAACATTTGCTGTTCAATCCACGATTCCTCTGATGTCTTTATGGCATTCTTCATTAGGGACTGCTCTGCAAACTGCAAGGGGGAGAGGAACAGGGATGTGGGGTGACTCTCTGAACCTAGCCAAGAGCCTGAACAGGCTCAGGAAGGTAGGCCCATAGGCCTTAGCAAAGACAATACAGGAAGACAGCTATTTTCACAAAGTACTCCTCAGCAGACTGTGTATGTATCAGTGACTGTAGGAAAGTAGGCCTGGGTTATAAGACCTACCATTCCAAATTCCTATGCCCAGAAAAACGGTCCCAACCCCAAGAAACCTCAACTAAAGCACTAAGTCTGGGGGCAACTCCAACATAGGCCTTAATTTAAAGAAGCCTCATCCAGTGATGTTGCGCTTTCACAATGCTGAAGCCTTTCTCATATTATAACCAAATAGGGCAAACGAAAAAGATGACCAGAGAAGTGAACTGTGCAGACACAGAGTGGAGGTAGTAGTCAAGCATATATGAGGCTGGGTGTGGCTATGTGAGGGGATGAAGGGTCAGTATTGGCATGGTGTGGTGCTATGAGTTGTAGAACACTTTATGAGAGAACTTCATGCCAAGTTGTAAGATATGACAGAATTATTTTGTCTGTTTGTTTGTTGAGACAGGGTCTCTATGTGGCCCAGGCTGATCTTGAACTCACTATGGTAGGCCAAGCTGGCCTGGAATTCATGGCAATCCTCCTGCTTCAGCCTCCCAAGTGCTGGGATTACAGGCGTGAGCCACCACATCCAGCGATATGACACTAATGAAATAATAAAGAACATCAGAGTATATTTCAGGGATTAAGTGTAAATATTGCTTCAAAAAGTTTTAGTTAATGTTTTTTTTTTAAACAAGGTCTTGACATGTAGCCCAGGTTAGGCTTGAACTCACATCCTGCCTCTGCCTCCAGAATACTGAGACAACAGGCATGCACCACCATGCCTCTAGCAAGTTAACATTATTTTCACACACATAAACATACCATACGCAAATGCATGTGTGCTAAGTAATGATGTAAAACATAATTTTCTATTGTGGAGCATACTGGGGGAAACGTGTAACAATGTTAGATCAAGCCAATTTAAAAATAGACAAATATGGGCTGGGAGTATAGTTCAGTGATAGAGTGCATGCACAAGAACACAGGTTCAATTCCCAGCACTGCAAAATAAAAATAAAAATAGGTAAGCAATCTAAGCACACAATAAAAAGGAATATATAGATGGCAAATGAACATTTATAAGATACTCAAGCTGAGGATGTAGCTTAGTGGTAGACCACCAAAACAATGCTCAACACCGTTATTAGTCAAGTAAAAATTTAAAAAATGAGAATGGCTAAAATACAAAACAGTTGCAAGATCAATGCTGGGAGAGAAGTAGAGCACCAAGAACTTTCATCTGTTATGGTAGGGATGCAAAAAACAATCTAGTCAGTTTGCACAATAGTTTGGCAGTACCTTACAAATCATAGTATGGTCTTAGAATCCTGTGGTCTTGCTCCCAGATACTAATGCAACTAATCTTAAAACTTATTTCCACAGAAAAACCTGTATGCAGCAGTTTATAGACACTTTGCTCATAATCATCAAAAATTGGAAGCAACGACGGATATCTTCCAATAGGTGAATGATTAAACAAACCCTGTGCCTCCACAAATGGAACAGAAAGTGATAAGAAAGTAGCGAGCTAACGAGCCATGAAAAAACATGGAGGAACCTTAATGCATGCTGTTTGCCACCTAAAAGCAGCAGTTTGAAAAGGCTACATACTATGATTCCAATTACTCAACACTCTGAAACAGGCAAAAACAGAGTCAATAAAGGGATCAGTGGTTGCTGGAGAAAGGAAGAGAGAATGGGGAATTTTAAGGGTGCTGAAACTATTCTGAATGATCCCAAAGATGTGTTGTTATGCACAGGTCAAAGCCCAAGGAACTTTACAAAACAAAAACTAATCCTAATGTATGCTAATCACTTTTTTAAAGAACAGTTGAGAGGTGAGGATCCCAGAGACTGACAAAACAGCCTAAATGAATTACAAATGTATGAGACCACCTGGGGGTAGCCCCAGGCACTTAGGAAATGAATGGAATCTCTAACACTAAAACTCAAAAGGAATTGTGCATATTACTGCACACTAGGGGGTACAGTTAATGAGAAGACACAGCTTTATACATATATAAGCAAGTAACAGTCATGTAAATGACTAGTGGGTAGAGAAAGGTTTCTCAACTTTAAAGTGGGAATTTACCCAGGAAAAGGGGAAGGAGGTAAGAATGATATACTTGATAAAAGGATTTTAACTGGAACATCTGCAATAACTCATGTTTAGGTTTATTTAGGGAGACAGATATAATCCCCTTCCTTAAGTGTGACTTCCTTTCAAAAAGCGTAATATTCAAAAGATGGGAACTGAATAAACAATACTGCCAGATGACCAAAGACAACAAGAGTCATATTCCTAATACATACATCTTGATATACAACAGAAAGCAGCACTTAACCTCTGTATTCTCCCTCTCTTAAACCCCAAATCCCAGTTTAAATCATGAGAACAATATCCAGACAGAGAATTTCCTGCAACACCCTTGACCAGTACCTCCTTAAAATTCTCAAGGTCACCAAAACAAGAGCAAGGAATGAGGCAGTGACTTCAATTACTAAGACTGTTTTAACAATGGTTGACACATTTAAACAAATGTACCAGTCATCTGAAATGTTAACAAAGAATCTGTGCCAATAAATCTAAAACTATTCTGATAAGGGTGGGGATGCCAAGTTTGATTCCCAGAGAGAGACTGCTCTGGCAAGTAAGTTGTCCTCTGACCAACACAGGCATGCCCCCGCCCCCCACAAACAGATAAATAAATGCTAAAAAATTTAAAGCTACTCAGAATAATTAAATCTATTAGAAAAACTTAAAACATTTAGTTTTCTGGTTTTTTTTTTTTTTGGTTTTTTTGAGACAGGTCTCCCTGTAGCCCCAGCTGTCCTGGAACTCACTATATAGACCAGGCCTGCCTCTACCTCCCAAGTGCTGGGATTAAAGGCATGCGCCACCACACCCAGCTACATTTAGGTTTTATAGAAATAGAAAACAAAGCAGGAAAAATTATAGATTAATCTTAAAAATGGTCTTAGGTGAAAAAAGCAATTCTGGAAAAACTAAATCTATACTGTATGACATTCTAGAACAGGCAAAACTATATATAGAGTGGGTCAACAAATCAAAACGAGAGCAATGAAATTGTTTAGAAGTTGATACAAGAAGTCAAAGGGAACAGACAATTAAATATGAGATAGCATCCTGGATGGAATCCTGGAACAGAAAAGGGTCATCAGGGGAAAACTGAGGAAATTCAAATCAAATGTGGTCTTTAATTTATCAATACTCATTTGTTAATTATGACAAATTACCACATTAATATCATAGTGGGGCATATGGTAACTAATAGTCTCACAATCATTCTTTAAATCTGAAACTTTTCTAAAGTTTATTAAAAGACAAAACAAGCTACCCTGCGTGGGAAGGCATGTTGGTGTTAGAGTGTTTCCTTAAATGAGGCAGGACCACCTTCTGTTTGTAGGAAGTGAAGCCTGAATAAATGACCTCAAAATCCCAGGAGGAGGTAGAGAAAGAACAAGGAGAAAAGAGAGAAGGGG